GTACCCCACCTAATACTCGTACACAAGGGTTTATTCATGAATAAACCTTGCTCGTACATATTGTTTTGGTTTTTCGAAGTTGTCAAAAATTATAATAATAGAAATTAAATAGCTTCAAAATTCTCTGTCCTGAATAGATCTTGCTGTGTCCTCTATTCCACCAGCAATGTCACTAATTTGTGGTCTATGTAATTTGGCGAGTTTTCTTAGCCAATTATTTATTGCCCTAATATGGAATGGTATGTTCCGCTTAGCACTGCAACTATTCAAATTTGCCATTGTCCTTTTTATGAATTTTGCATTTGGTTATGGCATATTTATAATGGTGAGTTGGATGGCATAATCTTGCTAGATAATTAATATTTAAAAATAATTCCCTTATTAGTTCGATGGTCCACCTTTTTCATTCGATCATTTGGGAAATGCTGTAGCAGCAATAAGGCGATTGAGTGACAATCTCATAGAAAGACAACAACGTTTAAGTTTTGGTGGTGCCCAACCTCCAACAATAACAAATACTGAAAATACTACTGAATCCAATAGACCCAGTCATGATGTGCAATCGAAACGCGATTTGTGAATATTGGTAAATATTTTGAATTTTTTCTGAATCTTTTGAAAAACCTGAATAACAAATATTATATAAAAAGAAAACTATTCGGGTTAGAAATAATCCAAAGACATTAGTCAAGGCCTACCAAAGGCGTGGATTTTTTAAAGAATATTTTTTCAAGGCCTATCAAAGGCGTGGATTTTTTAAAGAATATTTTTTCAAGGCCTATCAAAGGCGTGGATTTTTTAAAGAATATTTTTTCAAGGCCTATCAAAGGCGTGGATTTTTTAAAGAATATTTTTTCAAGGCCTATCAAAGGCGTGGATTTTTTAAAGAATATTTTTTCAAGGCCTATCAAAGGCGTGGATTTTTTAAAGAATATTTTTTCAAGGCCTATCAAAGGCGTGGATTTTTAAAAAGAATATTTTTTCAAGGCCTATCAAAGGCGTGGATTTTTAAAAGAATATTTTTTCAAGGCCTATCAAAGGCGTGGATTTTTAAAAGAATATTTTTTCAAGGCCTATCAAAGGCGTGGATTTTTTAAAGAATATTTTTTCAAGGCCTATCAAAGGCGTGGATTTTTTAAAGAATATTTTTTCAAGGCCTATCAAAGGCGTGGATTTTTTAAAGAATATTTTTTCAAGGCCTATCAAAGGCGTGGATTTTTTAAAGAATATTTTTTCAAGGCCTATCAAAGGCGTGGATTTTTTAAAGAATATTTTTTCAAGGCCTATCAAAGGCGTGGATTTTTTAAAGAATATTTTTTCAAGGCCTATCAAAGGCGTGGATTTTTTAAAGAATATTTTTTCAAGGCCTATCAAAGGCGTGGATTTTTTAAAGAATATTTTTTCAAGGCCTATCAAAGGCGTGGATTTTTTAAAGAATATTTTTTCAAGGCCTATCAAAGGCGTGGATTTTTTAAAGAATATTTTTTCAAGGCCTATCAAAGGCGTGGATTTTTTAAAGAATATTTTTTCAAGGCCTATCAAAGGCGTGGATTTTTTAAAGAATATTTTTTCAAGGCCTATCAAAGGCGTGGATTTTTTAAAGAATATTTTTTCAAGGCCTATCAAAGGCGTGGATTTTTTAAAGAATATTTTTTCAAGGCCTATCAAAGGCGTGGATTTTTTAAAGAATATTTTTTCAAGGCCTATCAAAGGCGTGGATTTTTTAAAGAATATTTTTTCAAGGCCTATCAAAGGCGTGGATTTTTTAAAGAATATTTTTTCAAGGCCTATCAAAGGCGTGGATTTTTTAAAGAATATTTTTTCAAGGCCTATCAAAGGCGTGGATTTTTTAAAGAATATTTTTTCAAGGCCTATCAAAGGCGTGGATTTTTTAAAGAATATTTTTTCAAGGCCTATCAAAGGCGTGGATTTTTTAAAGAATATTTTTTCAAGGCCTATCAAAGGCGTGGATTTTTTAAAGAATATTTTTTCAAGGCCTATCAAAGGCGTGGATTTTTTAAAGAATATTTTTTCAAGGCCTATCAAAGGCGTGGATTTTTTAAAGAATATTTTTTCAAGGCCTATCAAAGGCGTGGATTTTTTAAAGAATATTTTTTCAAGGCCTATCAAAGGCGTGGATTTTTTAAAGAATATTTTTTCAAGGCCTATCAAAGGCGTGGATTTTTTAAAGAATATTTTTTCAAGGCCTATCAAAGGCGTGGATTTTTTAAAGAATATTTTTTCAAGGCCTATCAAAGGCGTGGATTTTTTAAAGAATATTTTTTCAAGGCCTATCAAAGGCGTGGATTTTTTAAAGAATATTTTTTCAAGGCCTATCAAAGGCGTGGATTTTTTAAAGAATATTTTTTCAAGGCCTATCAAAGGCGTGGATTTTTTAAAGAATATTTTTTCAAGGCCTATCAAAGGCGTGGATTTTTTAAAGAATATTTTTTCAAGGCCTATCAAAGGCGTGGATTTTTTAAAGAATATTTTTTCAAGGCCTATCAAAGGCGTGGATTTTTTAAAGAATATTTTTTCAAGGCCTATCAAAGGCGTGGATTTTTTAAAGAATATTTTTTCAAGGCTTGGTATGATAAGGCAATAATATGTGTAGATTTTTTAAAGAATATTTTTTGAAGGCCTATCAAAGGCGTGGATTTTTAAAGAATAGTGAATATAAAGAATCTGTGAATCATTGTCATGACCTATAAACATCTTTGAATGTTGAGCACATGACATCTGTAGGAATCCCCGTACTATTCTACATTTTCAAATTTATTAACACAATTCATTAATTAGAGCACAATTTGTTTATTATTCAATTATTATTAGTATTTTGTTTCGGGTACTGTTCCATAAATAACGTTAATGGACAAGTCTACGATAATGTCGGATATTGTGGTTCCAGTTGCATGAATATTATTAATAGTAAAACACGCTTCGCACTCTCTCAGCGAGATTGCCATGATTTATTGGCAAAAATGTCTTGCGATAATAGTTATCAGTTTTTTTCGAATAAAAGTCAAAATAATTTAATCGATGACATTATTTGGAGCAATTTTTTATCATAATGGGGGGACATACGTAGACACGAAAATCTAATTTTTTGGTATGAATGGACAATAATTATCCAGCCATTAGTGAGTGAAACAAAATGTTGACAACACTTCGACTTTTAGTCGGTTTTTTGATTTTAGAAGCAATAGTTTTAGGGCAGCCGATCGGCATTGATGGCAGAACCAATTTGGCTAATATTATTTTGAGATCCCAGCAAGCCAATTTAGATGGACCTGTACATCTGGAATGTTTTGATTTATATTTACCCCAACTAAATGAGGTTACAATTCAATATGAATTTGAATTTCTGCAGTGTTTGCAAATAGCTGAAATTGCCAGGCAAGCTGTGGAAGATGAAATGGTATTTGAGCGTCAAGGTGTAGAAAGTGGTGCGGAACAAATTTGTACTCTGTATGGAAATTGTGTGGAAACATTGTTGCCTTCAGATTCATTTGAGTGTTTTTCAAATGTTGTAAGTATTTCAGAATGTGGACTTAAAAAAATAAACTGCTAATTTTGTTATATTTATTTTCAAAAGACTCTGGAGGTCCAGTCAATAGCTTTTAACATGCAGCAGTTGGCTACGAGTAAAAGTCAATACTTAAAACTGACATATCAGATGATTTTACATGATCAGAATATATGTACCGATAGATGTACATATGCGTATGCCCTGAAAACATCAGCTCTCTATGACTCATTACAGTTATGCCTTTCTGGGGGTGTTTATACTACATCGCCGTTGCCATCTACTGAGGAAAACATCACTAAACCTTTTACTGAAGGGCCCACTGAGCTTCCAACAACACCTGAAAAAACTACACCCCCTGTAACAGATCTACCCACTGAGCTTCCTACAACAGAGGCAACAACTACTGAACCAGTAACAGAAGAACCTACTGAACTTCCAACGACAGTGGAAAGAACTACCGAAGAACCTACTGAGCTTCCAACAACACCGGAAATTACTACCGAACAAGCAACAGAAGAACCCACAGAGTTTCCAACAACAGCGGAAAATACCACTGAAAATGTCACCGAAGGAACCTCGGAGCTTCCAACAACAGAGGATAAAACGACCGAACCAGTAACCGAAGAACCTACTGAGCTATCAACAACAGCGGAAAAAACTACCGAACCCATTACAGAAGAACCCACTGAACTTCCCACAACAACCGAAAAAACTACCGAACATGTTCCAACAACAGAGGGAAAGACCACTGAACCTGTCACAGAAGGAACTTCGGAAATTCCAACAACTGAGGAAACAACTACCGAACCAGTAACCGAAGAACCCACAGCGCTTCCATCAACATTGTATACCACTACCGAAGCTGCAACAGAAACATCAACTGGAACCACAACATCAGTGGAAAATACCACACAACCGGTTACTTCAGAAACAACCGAGTCGTCAACCACTGAGGAAATAACAACAACAGAAATTTCTACCACAGAGACTACATCGACGACACCTCGCAGTCCTCCTGTTCCACCCACATTTTATCCCGCTAGTACTACACCTAATATCATTACACCATTTGAACCGGAATTTGTAACACCTACTATGGTTCCCACACCACCAACACCTTCAACACCTAATAGTACAGAATCGGGATTTCCAACACCACCGAATGTGAATTGATATTGAAATATTTTCTAAAATAAAAAATTAAAAAAAAAAACAAAAACAGATTTTCTAAAGAATATTTTTTCAAGGCCTAGCAAAGGCGTGGATTTTTAATGAATATTTTTTCAAGGCCTAGCGATAGCCGTGGATTTTTTAAAGAATAGTTTTTCAAGACCTATCAAGGCGTGGATGTTTTAAAGAATATTTTTCAAGGCCCAATAAAGGCTTGGATTTTTTAAAGAATATTTTTTCAAGGCTTAGCAAAGGCGTGGATTTTTAAAGAATATTTTTTCAAGGCCTAGCAAAGGCGTGGATTTTTAAAGAATATTTTTTCAAGGCCTAGCAAAGGCGTGGATTTGTTAAAGAATATTTTTTCAAGGCCTAGCAAACGCGTGGATTTTTAAAAAATATTTTTTCAAGGCCTAGCAAACGCGTGGATTTTTAAAAAATATTTTTTCAAGGCCTAGCAAACGCGTGGATTTTTAAAAAATATTTTTTCAAGGCCTAGCAAACGCGTGGATTTTTAAAAAATATTTTTTCAAGGCCTAGCAAACGCGTGGATTTTTCCAGAATATTTTTTCAGAGCCTGGATTTTTAAAGAATATTTTTTCAAGGCCTGAATTTTTTCTAAAATAGTTTTTCAAGGCCTATTAAAGGCGGGGATTTTTTAAAGAATATTTTTTCAAGGCCTGCATTTTTTAAAGAATATTTTTCAAAGCGCGGATTTTTTAATGAATATTTTTTATTTATTTGTGGCATGGGGGTTTGGAAGAATCTTTTTGCAAGGCCTATTCAAGGCGTTGGATTTTTAAAGAATGTGTGTATTTCCTCATTCCCACAGTTGTTTGTTACTCCAACATTATAAAAATTGTCACCTTACTATGCTTCAACACTTTGACCTCGCTAATCATTATGTATGGTATGGATTGTTTTGACATCTCAGTTAATGGACTTCAACATAGGTGTGTCCGAGCTTAAAGAAATGTGAAGACAACGTGAGATAACGGCCTATACCGTCACTCAATAAACACGCAGTTATGTCGTTCGCAAGACTTATTACCAACATAAATATTTTTTGTTTTGCTGTCATTTCGGAAGTTTAAAAATGTATTGCATAATTTAGTCTCAAATGGCATTACCCTAAGTACACACATTTAGATGAAATATTACCCGTAAACATGATCTTTTGTTGTTTTTACTTGGCTATTGTTTATTTATTTGTCTAATGTTAGGCGAAGCTAATAGCGGTCACGTTAATATTGAACGGATGTTGACACAGAGTTTGAAGATGAAAGAGAAGATTTTGTATTGTTTGGCGGAAAAGTACTGGAATATAGAAGAAAATATTTATGTTTCTTTACTAAATCTAAATGTTGAATGGGAATAATAAATTGAAGTTGAGAAGAAATCCAATGTTGAATGTGAATAAATGTTGCATTTCAAATAAAACCCAATTGAATTGAATGGAAATTGATTTTAATAAAACAAAAGATTCTTATACCCTCCATCATACGGTGCAGTATATTAAACATCTCGAAATTTGTTTGTCGGAGATTGAGGTTTGTCGGAGATTAGATGAGATTAAAAGTCTTGATAGATATCGAAATTTTTAAGATAGCGTTTTGAAATTGGTTGGTATTGCAAATGGAGTATATCAGTCCACATTTTGGTGCAGCTCGCATATAACGGTACTTGCCAATTGTCCGTATTATGAAGGCTTTAATCACATTTTCCAAGCGAAAGGGCCTAATTTGGCACACCGAGATTTAAAAGATATATATGTAGAAATTTATCAATACAGGTCCATGTTTTGATATAGCCCCATATAAAGGTCTCTTTTAATATTCGGTATTAATTTATAGGTATTTCGGGGCTTTGGTGACTGACAAATATCAACACAAAAAATTATCATTATAGACCAATGTCCCCGGATAAAGATCCATTATCGGCATTTTAGGATTTAGCCGCATGTTCCCACCAAAGTGTTGGTAATTTGGCATTTTAATTCTATTAATTACACTGTGTAACATTTTTTAAGTTGAAAATCTCGAAACAATCGGGACCGCAAAAATCAAAAATCTGGACCTAACTCAGTACGCTGCGAAAAATGTTGTCTCAATCGGACAAACCGTGGAGGTTTGGTGCACCATTTACATAAAATCGGACGATACTATATATGGGAACTATATCTAAATCTGAACCGATTTTCTCAAATAAGAACATGTGCCAAATTTTAGACGAAATTTGATCATAAATGTGACAAAAAAAAAAATACATGGACGGACATGCATAGATCGACTCAGAATGTAATTCTATGTATATTTTCAAAAGGAACAATGGGTCTATCTCGATTACTTTTGCTTACACCACAGAGTGGTGAAGGATAAAAATATACTTTGCTAAATGTTTGTATTTCGTACACATGTATTTTGTGTGTAGTTTTTTGTGAAATTTTTAAATTAATGTTTTTATTTATATGTGATTGTTTGTAAAACCCCCTAGTTTTATGACGTGTTTAAAGTGTCTGCTAATGAACGAATTATTAATATTTTTTTGCAGAAAATCTCAGGATCAAAAATTACATAAAAAGAAAGATTACATACAAAATTGACTGGAAATTAATATGTATTAGAGCCTGGAATTTATCTACTTTTTTAACTAAAATGTTGAAGAATCGAAATTAGTTTTGAGCTACGGGTCTGGTGGTTCAATCGGTCACATTTAAGTTTAACACATACTGTTATATGGGGGCTACCCGAAAAACTAGTCCAATATTGATCATTTTTTATACGATGAAAACCAAAAATACCAAATTAGAGCCAATTTGGTTGAAAAACGAACCCAACATCACCAAAATACCAAACATGTAGGGGGCATGACCTTCCCATTTTTTTCACAAATCCATTTTTCTAACATTAGAACCAGTGAGCGGAGCAGTATAGTCGGACGGGGCTGACCATATGATATCCTACACAACTACCACGAAAATCACACTTTCGGCGGTTCTATATTCTGAGCCTGGGCAATATTTTGTGATATTTGCACCCTTTTTACAGATCATAGATAAACAACTCCTATTTCTAAGTCTTGAATATTTTCCAAAATGTTTTTTCTTGAAGAGAATTTTTACGCCAAACAATAAAAAATTGGTCACTTTAGGTTTTGGTTGATTTGACCCTCGGAAAATTGACCGATCATTATCTAAACAGCCGCTCTAAATATTTGGTCAGATCCCCTTCACCTTGTAAAATATATGATGTTCTGTATAATTATTATATACAGAACATCATCTAAAGCGACTAGAAAATCTGACAAAATTAAAGTGTTCGGTTCATAGCGCCCCCTGAATGAAATCTCAACTTCACCGAAACCTATAAGCGTCGTACTTGACCATAATCGGAACTTCATGTACAATTTCAAAGCGATCAGCGAGACATTTTCGTCCTCTAATGGAGTAATAGTAATAATATGCACATAGTCACTTTTACTTAATTACGTATAATTACGTATAACTCCCGCATCGGAGTACATACAGCCATACAATTGGTATCAATTTGAAGGTCAACAACTCATCTTGGACATACTGTCAACATCTCGAGTATATGTCCTTCAGGAGCAAGTATATACGTCCCAGAATAAAAATTTTGTAATTTTTCACACAAAAGTCAGGGTCCATTTGACCCGCTAAATATTGACAGGCATGCTTATTCTTAGCCCCGATCCCCTTCTCCATGTAAAATTTCACGATGTTCGGACCATAACTGCGGCCTCTGGAGCGACAAAAATTTAGTATTTGGTCCATTTCATCCCCTAAATATTAACCGATCTTTATCAAAGACAATAGGGGTCTTCATTGGCCAGAACCCATCCTACATGCAAAATTTGGTCCATAACTGTGGCCTGTATCGTGTTTAAAAATTATAATGGACAGACGGACGGACGGACACACATGTCTAGATCGACTCAGCTAGTCGAGATATCATCGGTATACTTAAAGGTGGGTCTAGGACCAATATTTCGCGGCGTTACAAACTTTTGGGGCTGCACAAAGCTATAATACCCTGACAACATAGTTGTGTAGGGTATAATTATACACTCCACATTTGGCAAAGCTAGCTTGTCGGGAAATATTTTATGCCGCTAAGTGAATCGTAAGCTTTCAGATTTTGGGTTCCGGATTGGTTCAAGATTTTAATGCTGCTCAGTCTTATTAATTTCTATGAAAAAAATCCTATGCTACTTTGAAGTAGTAGTATATAAAGGTCGGTCATGGAGGGTCAGAACCATTTTTGCAAAACTATTTCGATATAGATCTATGGCCTGATATAGTCTGTCAGAAAGCGTGCCCCAATTTTCTTACTTTGGATAATTTAGCCGAATTTCCAAACTTTCCATATAAAGGTACACCTATTATATGGGCATGTTCTTCAACAAAATTGGCTGTAATTTTATATTCTGGATTCTCATTGGTGATATTAATATTAAGATCGATTCACGGTTTGGTATAACCCTCATATAAGCATAATCGTTAATTTCGATATTTTGAGGATTTCTGACAATTCAGTGGTATCAGTTTCCCATTTAACGGTACCTTTAATTTTCTGTATTTTGAGAATATTTTAGAATGTTTGGTGCTAAAAATGAGATGTATCGATCTCCCAAAATTCGATACTTTGATCACGCTCTTCAATAAAATTGCATGTAATTAAGTTTTTGTGGATTCGTGGTTGACTTTATTTTCTAATGTTCAAATAATACTAATAATATCCAAAAATCGTTACATCGATGACACATTTGCATTGTCTAATTAATTTCTTTTCCAATGTAACCACTAAACTTGAACTTGATTTTCAATGTTAAATGCTAGACAAAAATTTTCTAATTTTAGATGATGTCCATTCTATAATTTGATTGTTATATAATTTCGATCAGTTGAAAGCCGGCTACAAAAAAAAAAAAAATATTTGGGGGAAAACAAGATTTTATTGTTTGATAACCGACCGGAAAACAAAACA